AACTCGTACGGAAACAAAAATAGCGCCATTCGATTCGCCGTGAAAAACTGCATCAGCTAGACACCTTTTCAGGCATTAACAACCAACTTCAAAATTTGACCTCACTTGACCTGACCTTGACCTGACCTCGACCTGAAATTCATCCAGAGGTGGTCCATATCACTTATTGAGTGTGCTTATTGAATTCTATGACTAAAATGACCCATAAAACATGTGTCGCACATGCCCTATTCTATATTTTGTTTTTAGTGACCTGACCTGACCTGACCTTGACCTTGACCTTTGAATGACATTGTATGCAACGAATATTGTCTTGGTAGTCTAAGATCACGTTTTGGGCAATCAGTCTCAGTCCATTCTTCGGCAACTACGGTGCAAAGCCGATACCTACTGTAGAAACTTGCATCTTGTACCCTTGACCTGACCTTGTCCTGACCTCTGACCTACTTAAGCAAAAAAAATGGGCTCTTAATATCCGCCTTGTTGAGAGCTTACGATTGCCGTTTTCCCTGTCTTTCTACGACCATCGGTTCGGAAGTTAGACAGGGGGGGGGGGGCAGAATCTGCCCCCCCCCCCCCCCAGCAGGGCGCGTATGGCCCAGCAGGGCGCGGGTTAAAATAGGACCTGGAGGAGTCATCACTTTTACCCGTCACCCGATTAACGAGTGGGCGAACGAGTTTATTTGTGGTTTAGGCAAAACTTTGGTGAGCGGCCTGACCCGGTCGGGACGTGCCGGGTATCAAATTGTAACACAAACGTAGTTTTCAGTATAAACACCAACTGCGATATGGGTGGCACATAAATGATACACAGCTCATGTTCCATCAGGCGTTAACTTTTCAGGTCGATATCAGGTCATGTCAGGTCGGGCTGGGAGATCCGAAAAAGGGCAATAATATGCTTGGTTTGTATGACGCCCTCGGCCCTGACAAATATGCATACCTATGTACACTTTGGCCTAATTCTCATGAAAAAAGAAATGTTATGAGAAACATCAAATCGAATATGCTGTCCTTTTTCGTTTCCTGTTTAAGATCTCTAGTGTGGAAGCGTCATTCAAAGACAAAGAAAGTTTCATTGGGAATAAGCTTTCAAATTTCATAAAAAAAAACTTTAAAAATGCTACCACCACTGCATCTGTAGTACCAAGGCGCGTCAACCCAGCGTCAACCTCCCCTAAAGCCTGAAACAGACTCTTTCCGCAGTCAGGAAATCGCATGCGAGAGCCTATTCAAATACATGGAAGCACGCTCGCATCAATCGCACGCACCTCCCGCAAGCGATTGATGCGAGAGGAATTATAATGCATTTGAATAGGCTCTCGCATGCGACTTCCTGAATGCGGAAAGAGTCTGTTTCAGCCTTTAGACCTTTCCAGCCCGGTTTATCGATATTGTGAGCCTATGGAACGATTACAATGATTGAGAATTTCGTCACCAGCTGTGTAAAACCGTCAAAATAAGTCGGCACGCTAGTTTATTTCCGTTATGTGATGAGCGGTTTTGTCGTGTCAAATGTTTGTCTACATTTGTCCAAACTGGAATACAACTAATAATATATTCCTTGCAACAATACGCATTGTACAGACACAACGGGCTTTCAATGAGAGAGCAATTTAAATGTAAATAATAGTCGTCCACATAAAACATTTTTTCGTTGTTTGTCACATAGCTTTATTTCACATAGAACTACAAAAGAGTGGTCCTAATACGGGTCCTTGAGGGACCGCGGCGCCCTGTGACCGTGTTTGAGAAGTGGCGTTGTTTATGTTAACCGCCTGTCTCCTGGCCGTCAGATATGATTTAAGCCACGCATGAGGCTCTCCGATAGTGGCATGGAGGGAGGGAACGAGTGGGACTGTAGCGAGTGCCAGTTTTGTCCGGGGAATCCGGCGATCAGTCGGTCTGTGACATGTGTGCGCGGGTCGGTAATGACCCCTCGCTGCCGCGCGTGACACTGCTGGAGTGTCGCGCATGTGGTCACCCCATGACCGTTCTCGACCTCGACAATAATGGTGCAACTGGCTCGTCGACCCCGGACTTGGATTTCATCGTCGCCCCGTCGCGAAGCCCTCTGGCTTTTTGCATCGACAACCGTGGACAGAAGGGGACGACATCCCCCAGTCGACAAGAGTTTCTCTGGTCTGGTGGCAGAGTGGTGGTCTGTCGACAGCGCCATGGCAGCACGCTGCTGCGTGACCTGACCCAGGTCAAGATTCACGTGACCTCTGTGACCTGGAGTGGTGGCTGGCGCGTCGAGCTGCCCAGCGGCTGGCTGCGGTTGCCACCGGTGGGACCACGCGTTGCTGACCAGACCTTCTGTTGGCCTCCGCATGAAGTATGAAACGCCTCAAGGATGACTGCAGGCCAGAGATAAACGGGCATCTTGAGGATTAGACGCCTTAGCAGAGTCTAGGCGTCTTAGCTTGACGGGAGTTTGAAAAGCCCGGCATCGGAGTTAAACCACGATGGGTCATCGACTTTTCTCAAGAGTCGTCTGAGGCCCTACGTGGAGGCTTTCACTTCCTACTGATGGGCTGCAAGAAGGCTGCCATTCGTCAAGGAGCGCACTGAAGATGGTGCCTTTTTGACCTGTGATACCGATTTGAAGCTCCAGATCGGGCGCCAGCGAGCGCCACTGACTTTCAGGTGTGGTCGTTTTCTGGTCGTTTTCTGGTTATTGCACCGCGATCGCCAAGGAGTGCTAGTGTCAATGTTTTATGCGACTGTGAATGATTGTTTGTCAGTTACCTGGGAGTTTCATATCACAGTTCCCATACGCTCCAAGCCCTAAATCGGTGAAATGAATCTAAAGTACGTTTCCTAACTGGTTTTGTAAGCGATGCACGTTGCAAGCGTAATAAACGGATGTAAACTTTGAAGCATTTCTATTTTAAGTATACCTACTGTCTGTTACGTTTTTAGTATACCTACTGTATTTCTGTTTTTAATGTTATTGTACCCTGTTCTGTCTGCTGTTCCCTTGGAATTAAGAATAAAGCTAACTGTCTGACAAAAGTCCTCTGTCTTTGAAAAGCCCCCGAATTTGAGCAGCATTACACGGCACATGTTGATAAAATATAAGTTACCACGCACGTCTACCTACTTATTGCTGATTCAGGGACGCATTTCTAGTACCTGCCCTTTTACCTATATCGATCGCACCTGAAAAGACATGTTCATTGTTCAGTGATCATCTTTAGTATTCGAAATGGAGGTAAGAAAGCAATGCTGTTTTTGACGTTTGGTGGGGGCGGGAGGGGGAAGATGGTCTTTTTCAGATGTCTTGCCTGTTACCAGGCAGATGCCATATAGCTCGGACTACAAACAAAAGGAGCGGAGTGAAAACTTATTTGAAAGAGTGCAGCCCGTCCTATCATATTATTTTCCTGTTCGCAGGGAACACGACTGACTCGTGCGCCTGTCCGGCCGGCTTCAGCCGCTGTGCCGGCCGCTGTCTGGCCGTCCTGGGTCAACAAATGACCTACGCGGAGGGTCAGGCTGCCTGCACGGCGTTGGGCGCCCACCTGGCCGTACCCCGATCCGAGGCTGAAAACCAGTGCGCCCTGAAATTGTTCCAGTCCGTAGACGCCTCCGTTTGGCTAGGAGTGCGGAGAGTTGACAACGTCTGGATAAGTGAGGACGGACTTATTGGAATTGTACCGGCTAATCAATCCTGGTGGGGGGTCGGAGAGCCCAACAACGACCACGAAAACGAAGACTGCGTCGATATTTATCGCGGCCTCAGAGCTTGGAATGATGTTAACTGCGAAATGCCTGTGTATCCTCTGTGTCAGATGAAGACATGCCACCGTCTCGAGTGCCCGTAGGGGAGTGGTAGGGAGAACCTCAGAGTGTCTGTGGGTGGTGGCCAAGACCAGGGGCGGAGAATCGTCATAATCCCAGGGGGTGCTTTTCCAGCATCTGGCAAATAAAAAGCGTCGAAATCGTAAGATTAGGCACTGTATCGAATTCATTATGATCAGACCGGTTTCGGTGTATTAACACCATCATCAGTGAGTAAAAATACAAAAAACATACAAATACATCGCAATCATTCAGTCGTTCGTAATATATGCATTCGAGACACTAATGCAAGAAACAAGTACAATAATTCGTGCTACACAATACGCATGACAGTTATATTTGGACGCCTCTGTTGTATGAAGCGTCACTTATAGGTCACTCATAACACGATATTGAGTGGCAGCGCAGAGTTTTGGGAATTCAGTTTTGGTCTATGTTTGTGGATGTAGAGAGACTCTAATAGCCTAAGGTCAAGCTCCAGGTAACTCCTCTGCAGAATTGTAAAATCGTTAATTGAGAAGGCGGTGCCACACTCATCAGAGTGGTCTTTAACTGAAGAGGGCTTTGGGCTAAATACCATTAAGCCAGTGCGGTCAGAAATCCCCATGTGCTGGCACACTCTAGTAGTGAGGCGTACATGAGTGGACCCAATGTACGACTCCCCACACGAGGAGCAACAAAACTGGTATACAACACCAGAGCGGCAAGCTTTGGGAACCCTGTCTTTGAAGTGGAAGATAGAACCGATGGTGAAGGTGTTTCTTAGAATCACCTTGGGGTCAAGATAGGGATAGAAGGACGTCAGTAAAGTTATGAGGTCTTTTCGCAGGCTAAGGGATTGTGCACCAAAGTAAGGTAGTACTAGGTACTTCTCCAGCTTGGGCACGATGACTTCGCTCGATATTGCTGCATATTGTCTGTCAAGGAACTTTCTAACATGAAAACTTTCCAACAAACATGTTTGATTTTACGATATCAATCACGATATCAATCGGCTGATGTTGTCATGGTAACGCCGGTTGCGTGAGGTCCGTGAACTTAGCGTCAGCAACAGCATACAGCGTCAGATTCAGAATTGCTTTTAAAAGCCTATTGAGGTCAATGGGGATGTTCGGCTTATTTCCTCACCAGGTGGCAGCACTGCCTTCTTTGGACACAGAAACTGTGGCGGCGAATGCGCCACTGTGTTTTACTGGAGTCGGTGCGGTGTCGGTCCGAGGGACTGAATTTCGGTGAATTTGATAGCAATTGATTTGAATTTTGCTCAGATGGGTTGTGAATTTATATTCAGCAAGTGTCACAAACATGGAAAGGCAAGTTTACAAAGGACAGGAGATTTCAATTTGGAAAGGCTTCAATTGACGTAGCCGAAGAGAGGCGAGAAGCCGAAGATAGACCGACTCCAAACGGTAATTCCATCGATGTAACACGTTTCCCGACATTTTTTTATGGCGAGCATAATTAAGAGTATAAAATAGTCTAACTTAACTCATAGCTGGATCTTGTATTGCCCATATGAGTCAGGTAATTCACCTGTGTAAGTTTATGGGCATATCAATATAGGAAGTTGACCTGCCCTTTGAGAAAGGCATTAAAAGATGATACATGCTGCTGAGAATGATTATATAAATTCAATGCATTTTTATAAGATTCATTGCAAGCATTTTAGCAGTGTTCTTTTGTCTGGTACCAAAGATATTGCATGCAGATAAAGGTTATGATGGAAAAAGACAAATACCTAGGATCTATTTTGACACCAGTAACCAGGAGGTACCTATATGTAATAGAACACTAAGCTACCTACTATTTATGAATTGTTACAAGTATTGATCATCCCACATGGTGTTCCAGGTGCCCAGTGCAATCATGCTTCTGGTGCGGAGTTGTCAGGATGGAGTCCGAGGAATCAAGGAAGGCAGAGGACCTGCGTATGAAGGAACCAGCCCTGTGGATGAAGATCTGAGGTGCATACAGAGGGATCCCACTGAAAGACCAGGTAGGAGTTGGTGAAAAGCTTGTGCACTGCAGTATATCATCCAGAAGTAACTGATAGCCTTTCTTGCAAAATGTTTTTTTTTAACTCATCACCACCTAAAGCTACTCATTATTGATATAATATCTTAATTTCATCAGGTAAATAATTGTTTACTCTAAGTTTTGATTCACACTGAAGTGAACAATATTTTAGAATATTCACTCAGCTTTTTTAGCAACAAAATACGGGCAAGTTTTTTGTTGTTTTTAAAAATAAATTTTCACCTTCTAAAATATTTGTATATGTAACTGCAATAAAAGTGCATTTCAAAATTGCAAATACTTTTCATGGGTCTTGATGATGTCACTGTATCCAGTTCATCATATCAGATTTCAACTGTGTTTAAACTGCAATGTTTTGCTAATTGCTTCAGTATATAATGTCCTTTTATCCATGCATGTTAAACATATGTATCTCATTATGACTTGCCGAGATCTTTCCCTACTGTCTTATGCCATTTTTCATTTATCCACAGGTGCAATGCTGCATTGATAAGATCCAGATTCAAGAGCATGGATGCTACCAGATCCTGTGATTTGAAGTTACCTACCAGTGTCACTGCTGCTACAAATGACATCAGCAACACTTCCTTTGGTGAAAGTTTAGAGGAGCAAACAGTTGGTACTCTGTGTAGTCAAGCAGTGGAGTTTTGCCACAATCATGAAGTTGATTAAGGTGTCATTTTTTTTTTTTGCTCTGGCTTCTGGGACACCTTGGATCTACATTGCAACCTATGCTAGTGTTCAACATTTCGTGTCGTAGTATCACTGATGCAAAGCGTGTTGCATCATACACAAATGAGAGCCAGCAAATTGGCAGATATTTTCTAGTGATAGAGAACTGCATGCCTTAAGCAATTGTTGAAGGTGATAAGTGGTGAATGGTAGGGCTCAGCCACTCAGCTGCTTCCTTCAAAAGCTATCAATCAGCTCTAGAAGAGCTGTCGTCATAGCAATGCTTCATATGTGAAGGATACTTGCCTGAACAGAACATTGTGGATTTGTTAATTAAGTACCTCTTTATTACAAGTTTGTGCCCATTACAAGCCAAGCTTAGTTTACTTAGTTCGTTGCAAGTTTTCCAGGCAGCCTTCACACTTGTGTCGCTGAATATTAAACTTTGACTGATAGACCGACGAGATATTGTCCCTTTCGCATCAGATTGTAATCAGTCAGTCGTGTTGGTAGAAGGTACAGTCTGCCTTAAAAGTACCGCGCAAAGTGACGGTGGATCCATCAAGCCTGACCGAGGAAGGGCCTGCTATAATTTGAAGGTCACCGAACCAATTGACCTGGGGAACGGACGAGGATGTCATGTAGAGCCACGCAGAAATCGCCGGTGATTCGTTGCCCATCATTACAGAATGAACGCATGCCGGATGAAGGGTTAAGTCAATAATCTGTACAAACTAAAGGGATGTGATTGACTTATCTGACAGTGACGAGCGCTAGAGGTCAACTTAAGACCGTAGGTATGCGTTCTTGTCATGGAATGTGTGCTGTAAATCGATTGTTTCATGCGTGTGAATATATGTTGAATGTAATAAGGTTTTTAATTTCAACTGTGTAAGTTAAAATATGTGATAACATCGTATCTTTCGTACTCCGTAGCTTTTGGTGACCATTCGATCAGCTCCCTTTCCTTCCGCTCAATGACGATGTAGTAGTTTGCCTTTCACACGCGTCATTGTCTTCCTAATATCGAAATCAACTGTAGCTACTCATTTTAGCAAAATGATGAACCTGAAAAAGACATGAAACGCAGTTTCCGTTCGCGGCGCGTCGGCCGCCGTCGCCGCCCGCATGTTATCCCCGGCCCGGCCGGCGCGTTGTGTCCAAAGCATACCGTGCTGCCACCTGGCGAGACTTTTCGGAACTCTTAGCGCGAACATCCCCATTAGGGGGCGGGGAACACGAATATGACACTTATTTTGCCCTAACTCCCCTCCTTCATCCCTTAATCCTCCCTTAAATGACGGGGCGCGTCAAAAGTGCCTCAAGGATTCGTCTGATCGCCAAAATAAGGATCGCAATCGATTCCTCTTGTCAATATCTGGCCGCAGCCTCGGCTTCCAGATGTGTGCAGCATATCCCTTATCCCTTAATTGTCCCTTAAAGGACGGGGCGCGTTAAAAGTGCCTCAAGGGTTCGCCTGATCGCCAAAATAAGGATAGCAATCGATTCCTCAGGTCAATATCTAGCCGGGTGTCAGATGTGTGCAGACTGCAGCGTATCCCTTATCCCTTAATCGTCCCTTAAAGGACAAGGAGCGTCAAAAGTGCCTCAAGGGTTCGTCTGGTCGCCAAAATAAGGGTCACAATCGATTCCTCAGGTCAATATCTAGCCGGATGTCAGATGTGTGCAGACTGCAGCGTATCCCTTATCCCTTAATCGTCCCTTAAAGGACGGGGAGCGTCAAAACTGCCTCAAGAGTTCGCCTGATCGCCAAAATAAGGGTAGCAATCGATTCCTCGGGTCAATATCTGGCCGCAGCCTCACGTTCCAGATGTGTGCAGCGTATCCCTTATCCCTTAATCGTCCCTTAAAGGAGCGTCAAAAGTGCCTCAAGGGTTCGTCTGATCGCCAAAATAAGGGTCACAATCGACGCGCCCCGTCATTTAAGGGAGGATTAAGGGATGAAGGAGGGGAGTTAGGGCAAAATAAGTGTCATATTCGTGTTCCCCGCCCCCTAATTGACCCCAATACAAATAGGCTTTTAAAAGCAATTCTGAATATGACGCTGTATTCGCTGCTGTTGCTGACGCTAACTTCACGGACCTCACACAACCGGCGTTACCATGACAACATCAGCCGATTGATATCGTGAACCGGCCGTCGCCCCCTCCCCCCCCCCCTCAACCGTCATCCCCTATACGTCCTGGGTGATTTTCCTGCCCATTTAGAGACTTTTCAAAAAGTCTCTAGATTTTTCAACTGGTCACTAGATCTGGCAACTGGGGTGACGTCTGCTAAGAGAGTACCCTGGGCCTTGGTAACAACTGGATTTCCATTACGTCATGGGTGATGATGTCACACCACGGGTGACGTTTCACTGCTGCTGCTGCTGTCCACGGAGGGCAGCGTTTGTGAGTGGAAAACAGTAGCAACATTGTAAATGAAGGCAGTATTGGCGCTTATGCTACATATGAAATTTATAACAACATATTGATATTGGTGAATGTTTATTTTTGTTACTTTTCATAAACCCTCCATTTCAGAGGGTCTGCATGCAAAATTTCTGTTATTTTTTAGAGTCAAGCTATTGTACTAAGGGATTTATTTTGGCAATTTAGTCATTTGTTAGGTTATAAGGCTGCAGAAACTTTTAGTTGAGGTTGGTATCCATTATCCAGTTGCAGCTATAATCGTGTCATATTTTGTATCATTTTCTGAACATGTAAACACCTACCTATATGAATTCAAATTTTGTGATTGTAGAAAAGCAGTTACCCTCACATTGCAGCGGGGATTAGAACAATTAACCACACTTGTTATACAAAAAGCCTGTTTGCCATCAATTTTGGGAATCCAAATTGGGTATTGGTAAGGTAGATGTAGCACAAGCTGCCCGATGCACGAGAATGGGTCTTTCTAACCAAACCTTACCTAACCTGACCTACAACCTACAGCCTTAAACCTAAAATTTACAACCTACGACCTAGTCCTACGGTATGGCATATCACAACAGCTTGTGCTACGTCTGCTAGTGCTACCATGACCCAACTTTGTGCCAATTCATACCAACTTGGGATGACAGTCACTGCAGATGACAGATGTGTGCTGACCATGCAGGTCTTTGTTACAATTGCAATTCTATTGTGTTACAGGTTCGGCGTTCTACAGCTGCGACCCGCCATGGCTGGGCCACCGCAGCGGCATCACCTTCAGGGTGGACCTGCCCGTGGCCACCCGCCGGTCGGACCCGCCTGCAGTCCGCAGGGAAGCTGCCCTGCGAGCCATTGCAGAGCTCCCGCACCCGGACGTCACTATCTGGTCGGACGGCTCGGCTCGCGGCGGACGGAACAGGGCGGCGCAGGCGCTGATCCAGTTCCACCACCTCAACAGAGAAGAGACCGTGCGCGCTCCTGCAGGGGCGGTCTGCTCCAGCCTAAGAGCAGAACTGACCGCCATGCGCGAGGCGTTCGCGGCTGTGGCCGGCCTGGAGGACGGGGAGTTGGCATCGACCAAGTCGGTCCGCCTCCTCACCGACTCAAGGTCTGGGCTCCAACTACTTGGCCGCGGCCCAGCTAACCAGACCATGGCCCTGGCCGCCGAGGTGTGGAGGCTGCTGAGTGCTGAGCACCCTCACCGAGAACGGCACCGAGACGGTGCTCCAGTGGGTGCCAGGCCATGCCGGGCTGGACGGCAACGAAACCGCCGACCTCCTGGCTGGCGAGGCCACGGCGGGCGACCAAGACAGCGCACCGATCGACCTGTCGAGTGCGCGGGCCGCCGTCACGCGCCATGTCCGGGAGCTGTCGCGACAGAGGGCAACCGCTGCCCACCCGCACCCGGACCCCACGCCTGGCCACGACTCCCTGGCGCGCTGGGGTCGGTGACGCTGTCCCAGCTGAGGACCGGCACATCACCGCTGACCCGTGACACGCTCCACAAGATTGGCCCGGAAGCCGACGACGAATGCCCCGCGTGCGGGGAGCCCGACCGCGCGGCGCACCTACTGACCGATTGTCCGGCCTATGAGGCGGCCCGCCGCCGCCGCTGGGGTGTCGACCCTCGCCTGGTCGACGTCCTCGGCGGCCCGGCGACGAAGGTCGTCACCTTCATCGAGGATGTTGGGCGGACCGAGCCGCCGCTCGACCCGCCTGCGCCGCCGCCCCCCTGAGCGGGTTGGCAATGGGATGCAGAAGAAGAAGAAGAAGCAACTGCCAGCGCGCCACGGCGGCGAAGCCGAGTTCCGCCGCTGGACCGCCCGCGCAATGGCCAGCACAGACAAGAGACAACCGAATCACAACACCTACAATTACGTTATTATGGTATTGACATTGTTACAATTAACCCTGCTCTTTCGAGCGTGGATGCACGCTGAAATTGTCGCATAATTCCATGCAGCTTCCACCCTTCTGCAATACAAAGTTTGAATACAAAGTAGTCTTACAATAGGTTTAGAACTTATGTGCAGATTGTCGATGCTGGTTGACTTGATGATTGGAATTGTGTTTATCTGTTTATCTGTTTTGACTTAAATATATGGCCATGTACTATGGCCTACCTTGGGAAGTGTCTCTGATTTCAACAAAACATTTTTCATCAGGATACGCTGCAGGGTACATAGTACATACGTAGTGAAAATTTTGAGCATGTATGGGTGCGCATGTGGAGATGTAGACTGCGAATGAGACGGACTACGACGGTTTTTGAACCAATTAAATCTGATTGACAACATAATGTAGGATTAAAAACTGACTGTCAGAAGAATATTCACAGAATATTCACTTCACCCAGTACAACGAAAAGGGAAAGTCAGGAAACAGGCAGGGTACATCTCGAAGATCAATCAAATTGCAGGTGCCGATTGGTTATGGATCATTGTAGCTCAATGTACTGCCTTGTGCTGCTTTATTGATTGAAATTGCTTCTAGCTTGTATTGAAAGAAGTCATTATGGAAGAATTAAAAAGGTTCTTGAAAAATTTAAATACTTTGAATTGATATTTATGCAGAATTATACACCCGTATCATTCTTTACATGTCAATATTTGTATATTATCTAGCATATAAGAAAATAGTGGCCTCAAGTTTCTAGAAAATATCTGATTTTACTCTCAGAGCCACTGCAGATCCCTAAAAAGTTAGGAGCCGTCTTCATTATTGAATGTATAAACCCAAATAAATTATCACTGCTCAAAAGTGGAAGAAATGACAAATGAAATAAAGTTTTCCTACAGCGTTGCAATCCAGATTTCAAGATAGTGATGGGCGCACTAGAAAGCAAGTAAAAGTACTCCACAAGGCAAAAGTAAGGAACAAGAATATCCTTATACTGTTTCAGAATTCGGTAACAAACATTTTTTGTGTGTTTTAAATACCCGAACAAATCGATTCCAGAATCAGTCTTGATAATATTATATGGTTTTTGTATGGTGTTGGTGGTACTTGAATGACCAAAGTCAGTACATGTCCATCACCTTTCGATATTTCCGTGGTGCTCGTTCCCATTTCATAGCTGCTCACGGTGTTTTCTGCTGACGTCATATGGTGCTGCTCCACTAGCGCCACCATACGGCGTCAGCTGGCGAATTATCCAGTTAATACCAGAGCCCGAGTACCCTTCATTTAGATGGCTGACTAGAGCATAGCGTTGTTTGACATGAGCGAAATTGAAGTGGTACAAAAGCTAGACTGCTGAATCAAAATGAAAAAAAGTACTTTAAATTGCAAACACTGGCAGTATCATATTTTCATCAATGAATACCAGCCTAGATGTTGAATATCTTTGTTTCAGTGACGTTTCAGTTTGATTTTATCAAGTAGGTAGGTACCTAATCCTTTTTTAATTAGTAGGTCTGAATGTGACTGTGTATGACTGTTGGATGGATGCTGGTCATCGTCATCGTCATGCGTTTTAGCAAACATCACCAAGGCCATTCTTTGGCAACTGTGATTGTGTCGCATGAATCAATGAATAGGTCAGACTCCAAAATCCAAATGGAAGGAGGCAGCATCCAAAACTATCGATTTACGTGGGAAACAACATACAAATGAAAACAATTCTCCACTCTCACCTCCACTTAAAAAAAAAAAAAACACTCACTCCTGGTTTTACTGAAACAGAGCATTTGCACAGATGGTCTTTTTCATCCTACAATCTACCACACCTGTATATAAATTCCTGCTTTTGGTCATTTTTGTCAACCTGTTATGGGCCTACTTAAACCTCAATTTGCACTCTCATCCCCTTTTGGCCTTTGGGTAAATAATTTTTACCTCTGACACCCGAGCAAAATACATTTTTGGGACACTGGAAGGAGGGTAAGACAAGTTAAATAAGCTGGGTAGAGCACCATGTCTGTGAACTGAAGACTAGCACTTCAACTTTTGAACTGCGACCAGGCTTGGGCTAGGATGCTGCGGAAGAGTCATGCTGATGCCTTAACATGGTCAACAGCATTGATCATCACAGCTCATAGTGAACCATATTACATCGATGGACCCATGTTCTTAAGGCTACTTTTAACACTAAGTTTTAGGTAATTGAATTTGGAAGCAATGTTTCTACAATGAAGTCTTTGAGCATACAAATAATAGGTAGGTAGTCTTGAACAACAAAGTTTCTGCCTTCTGTCGCATACAATACTTCAAAGCAGTACAATACAATATAAGCAATACACTATGTTCTCTCACTCCACACATGTGCAAGGATGGCTTAACCTTTAAATTTGCATTTTAGTATATATTAGTTCTTTTGCCATTCTTAAAGAAGTAAGCAATACACATCTGTGACAGGAAGTATGATTTATCCAGTATTCCTATTTATTGCTACCCATCAGCTGAACCAGGTTTATATAGCCTTGAGCTGAACCAACAGCCAACAGGCACCACCCTTATTCTTTAACCAGTGGATCTGCCTTTTTCAGAGTAATTGGTTACAAGTCAACCTTGTGGTCATTAACAAGGCAGCGTTGATTTTTTATAATATTTTATAATGTGGGATTCCAACATTCCTCAGTCCTCAAATTTGTTGAATTTTACCCTTGCATACAGTACACATCTACCTGAATGTCCGAAGGTCAGGCTCTATTTGTACTTAAACCCCATGTTTCAGCATCATAGATATCCCTTCAGCAGTGTTCTGAGAAGTTCCAATAGTGCACATCAGGAGTTTGACTCGGTGGCACTGTAACATCTGTTTTATTCATAGTAGGTATGCTGTTACACCGTTCCGTTGCACAAGGTTTGCGGCTATATCCGGACGAACTGACGAGACACACTGCACCGCGACGTAGTTTAGCAGCCCAGGCGTCTGTCCGCCTCATAAACCGGTGGCCGAAGAACGCGACACGGTCCGGATGGCTTGTCGTTTCGCCCGTGAACAATAGGTCACAGTCTGCAGCCGTGCGATCCTCTGGAAGGTTATGACAGCATTCCTCTGTAGTTACCACCCTAAGCCAGCCGTATAATGTGAATGTCGTAGCATGATTGAAGTGGCCTAAGACCTACGGTGAGCTAGGTCGGTTACTTTGCCATCTGTTTTTCCTTTAACGTAGCAACCTTTGCTTTGACGGAAACCGTGCCTGCAGCCGCATACTAAACGATTCGGGTCGAATTCATAAACAATGCACATTGCACAGCCGACACTAAATGCAACATGAGACGTTGTCTGTGACTTCCATGATGGGCGATGGCATTGTTCCTTGGAAAACTCCATTGTCTGATATAGCTCGTGTGAAACAGCTTCCACCGAATGCGACGGTGCTTCTCTGACCATGAATATTACAGTGCAATGACGACGGTCTTCCGTTTGCTACAACAGTGGTGTAACATCGAAACACGTTTTGCGGAGCTCAGTTTAATGAACACCACAGGTCCAGGCTTGGATGCTGACGATCCACTGATATGTTATATTTCAGATAATAATAGGCATTGTCCTCAGTTTATCTGGAAGCAGGAGTCATGTCTCTCTCTGCCGAAGAGGTGTCGGCTGCGTGTGCTGAGCCGGACCCCTCCACGGCTGACTTCATCATGCAGCAGACCATGTACCGAATCAAAGACCCCAAGGCGTCGCTCAACTTCTACACGCGCGTACTCGGCATGCGCCTTCTGAAGAAGTTCGACTTCCCCGAAGCGAAGTTCTCGCTGTACTTCATGGGGTACGAGGCGAAAGAGGACATCCCGACGGACGAAAAGGAGCGTACGAAGTGGTGTTTCTCGAGGAGGGCGACCATCGAGCTGACACACAACTGGGGGACCGAGTCGGATCCCGACTTCAAGGGGTACCACAATGGAAACTCGGATCCGCGAGGGTTTGGCCACATCGGGCTGGCAGTTCCAGACGTCGAGGCGGCCTGCGAGCGCTTCGAGAAGCTCGGTGTGAAGTTTGTCAAGAAGCCGAACGAAGGCAGGATGAAGGGACTGGCCTTCGTTCAGGATCCGGACGGATATTGGATTGAGATCCTGAATGGTGGCAACTTGACTGCTATGTGAGGTGGGAAAGTTGGAAGTGGCTTCGGCTGAGATTGCTGATGATTGGTGATGTGACTTCTTTGGGATTTTCGTATGTTTAATCGAGGATGCTTTTGATACATGAGTTCTACTGATACAGGAGCAAGCCAGCTCCCAGCTCACTAGGTAAGCTGTGACTTTCCGAATTGTATACGCTATACATACAACGGTGTTTCTTTGGAATGCTGAAAAGGTCATGCTTTCGCAACGAAAGCCACAACAGTGGCGTGACGGAATGACTGATTTGTATCACAATGATTAACAACTTGTCCAGTAAGTCGTAAACCACGGCCTTTAATAATCAAACTTGTTTACGGATGTTGTTTGGACGGATGTATCATGTTAAGCTTGTTGTTAAATGAAGGAAGCATTGGTCAGTTTGTCAACAGTATGCTGGTCGATAAATAAACGTGGGTCTTGAAGGACCAGCACCAACAGGGTATTGGTTACCTGGCTATTGGATTGCCAAATATACGTGCACGACAATATGTTAAAATGTGTTTGGTAAACGAGGCGGTTCCTGGAATCGCTCCACTGCGATCGGTTTGGATAGGAGGCATCTCAGATATGCCAAGAGTGACATGCTGGGGAGGTGAAATAATGATAAGTTGATCAGGCAGCCCTGATGAGGGCGGATTGGAGCCGATAGTTGATACATATGACGTCTGACAATGACGTCTTTACCTATTTGTTCCCCGGCTCTCATCTCGGTGTCCAATTCAAAAGTAGAAGTTAAGTCAAAATACTGACCCTGACTTCATAGTTTGATGTCATACAATATAAGCTAAAATTTTCCATTATCCTGTGAAAATGCAGGAATGACGTGATGCGCTTATATTCCGTGGCTTCATGGACAAATGCACACATACGGTCAAAAATTACAGGGCCATAGTTTATCCCTATACGCGAAGAGCCATAGCATGACCATCCTGATATCGTAAAACTGCAAACTCGCGACAAGCCTGAAACAGTTCAACAAATTGTCATCCCGTCGCCAATTCCCAACAACCTACGTGGAACCAGAGTGGCACAATCCACAGCACAATCAAGCCAACAGAGCTCTCCAGTTCGGGCCCAGTCATGAAGCCCCCATCCATCCCCCTACGTAGCAGCTACTGCCTGCATCTGTGCTACTTCTTGCCGCACGCGCTCCACATCCTTACACAGCGCCGCGTCTTCACTCGTAGCATCTGACAGTCGCGCCACAAGCGCCTCAAGTGCGGCGAGGAGCGCCACAGGCCTCGGCGCGCCGCTTTCGTAGTGTGCGCGCAGTGTCTGCGCCATTTGTGCCGCCATTGAGACGACTGCGGCGCGGGTGGCTGGCTCGCGGCCGAAGCGGCGCAGCAGAGCGCTGACCCAGACCAGAAGTCCATGTCGGTAGTGGAGGTCGAGGAGAGCGCCCGGGATTCGACAGGTGACCTCCAACACCTGGGCACAGGGGTCACGGGTCAGTGAACTGATGTAAGGGTCGTTGGTTATAGGTCATGAGGACGGGTTAGTAGTTACAAATGGTCATGGCTCACATTTTACTAAAAGGTCAGAGGTTGCATCGGACATGTCATCATGGACCAAAGGTCACCGATCACCGTTCAAGGTCACCAATCATAAAACAGCTGAGGTGACCAGGTGAAAGTTCGTCCATTTCCAGTGCTGTCATTCCTCAATAGGGGATCACCTGAAGTCTGTAAAGATCTCAATAGGTCATTGGACAAAGAGCAGACACAAATCTACCAACCAGATAGACAATAGACATGCGTAGTTTGAGCATCTAAGACTGCCACAAGGGCAATTTTATCAACGCCTTTTACGGTCAAATACAGACAGAGTGAACACAATTCAGTAACGGTGCAACCGAATCAAACTGTTCGCCATAGACAGACTATGACGTCTTGTCGAAATCGCCTGCACTAACTATTACTGAAATGTGTGCACTGCCGCCTAAATTGGGCGTAATAAGATGTAATTCCTGTCACATAAGCCACAAAACATCATCCCCCTCCTTAAAAACACCTCCTTCCTCCAACATCCCCTCCTATACCTTGAGCAGCTGCGGTCGTGCCGATGCCAGGCACGAGGCGGCCAGTCCCATCACCAGTTTATAGGTGACGGTGCGCTGGAGAACGCCGTAGTCGGACATCTGGCGAACGCTCTGACACAGGTGACCCACCATCCAGGCGTGCTCCGAGCGGTGCTCCAGGCTCGACGCGCTGCCGGGGGTGAATAAGAGGGTGATAGAGGCATGTAGAGGAGCAGAATAGGCGCCCTTTAGAAGTTATAATTGTGACCATACGGTATTCTATCTAGGTTATGATCGACTAGGAATAAAACGTCTCTAGATTCAAGTGAACGGTGTGAAATGATTTACAGTAAGAAACGAGTCATTATATCTCATTAATTATTCGAGCTAAATCAGCCAGGAGCACACTCGACATGTATGTCAACCCGATATCAAAATGCTTTCAAAAACAGCATCAGACATCCAAAACCCGGAGGAGCAGCTGTGTTGTAGACGCCACAGAACATAACTGACGAGAATGACATTCCCTTAAACATCTAAAAACTCAATAATCCCAGTCCCGAGACCCGGGAGGAAAAGCTCTCACCTGTTGAAGAGCTCGAAGAACAGTGGCACCTTCCCGATCTCCAGGCTGCCGTTCTTGGCGTGACGTAGCAGCAGCCGGGTGGCCGGCTTGAACAGCCTGTGAGTCGGCTGCTGGAGCACCAACACCAGTCGGCACCAGCCGTGCACCACCACAAACGGCAGCCTCTGCTGGGGTGCACCAGCGGCCGCCGCTCGCACCAGGTCGAGGAGGGTCAGCCACACCCGGCGCTGCCTGCCACACAGCGGGAGGGAGGGAAATGTTGGTTAGGGGAGCGAGACGATTTGTGCGTTGTGACGCGCCGATATTCAGAAAACTGACGGAAGGTGGAGTAAATACTTTGAGGTCTTCTTAGTAGGATTGACGCAAAATTAACTGAAACATGTTTTAAATCAGATGCATTATAGAGGCAAAATGCTACACACACAAAATAACTCAGCGTTAGCGCCATCATGCTTCCAAGACACAGCATAGCACAATGGCAAGAATGATACGGTTTTTAGGAATATCAAATGTTCCATAGTCATTAATTGATGCCTTATTATCTCCTTTCTTCCAATTTTATCGCACCAAAGCGGAATTTACATTCACAAAAAGCAATGAAAATTCCCTGAACCCCATCAAACCACTCCACAATCTATTATAAATTAAACGACATCCGTATTTCTTTGAGCACCTGGCCCTGAATAGGTACTACTGAAGTTCTGTACGGGATAATTATTTGTTTCTGACGTCATTACATGTATACATCTCAGCTAAAACACGGATGGTACCTAAAAATGTTAGCAAAGCGGCGCCAAGACCGTGTGGCCTAATGGATAAGGCGTCTGACTTCGGATCAGAAGACTGCAGGTTCGAGTCCTGTCACGGTCGCTCGGTTATTGCTAAAAATAAATATTTTCATGTTACGCATTTCTGAAATCTGAGCCACAAGGATGGCTAAAGAGAATGTTTTATTTTCGTCGGATCGATCCATCGTATCGATTTCTTCGTTGACAGCGCCACCTAGAAACTACTACTTCAAGTCCATCCACCAGGTGGCAGGGCGGACGCCGAGGCGAACTTCCACTAACACAACAAGCATTTCGCTTGAAAACACTATTTTGGAAGTTACTTAAAGGATCACATTCGTCTTTTATGACCTCCTGTCTACCAAATCAATACTAAAAATACTCTAAAGTCTAAGCAATGTTAAAGCATGTTCCAACTTGTCCCTCCCTTCTATTTTTTTTCTCTCTCTCTCTCTCTCTCTCTCTCTCTCTCTCTCTCTCTCTCTCTCTCTCTCTCTCTCTCTCTCTCTCTCTCTCTCTCTCTCTCTCTCTCTCTCTCTCTCTCTCTCTCTCTCTCTCTCTCTCTCTCTCTCTCTCTCTCTCTCTCTCTCTCTCTCTCTCTCTCTCTCTCTCTCTCTCTCTCTCTCTCTCTCTCTCTCTCTCTCTCTCTCTCTCTCTCTCTCTCTCTCTCTCTCTCTCTCTCTCTCTCTCTCTCTCTCTCTCTCTCTTCCCCTATCCATCACTCCAGTACCCACCTCTGATGCCTGCTAGCCTGCAGCTGCTGATACAGTCTCGCCAGGGTGGTCCATCCGGCCGACCGCAGCGCCACCTGTCTACAGCTGAGCAGACAGAGGGCGACACCTAGCGCCCCGGCCGACACTAGTTTAAGCGGCTCGCCCTGCTGTTCCGGGGCTGTTAGACGAAGCAGCAGAGGTGCCAGGAAGCGAATGTCGTACACGCCCGGGTCGGGAGCCACGCGCACAGGCTGAAAATAGTGTGTGTGTGTGTGTGTGGGGAAGGGGGGGGGGGTGCTCAGGTGTGGCGGCGGTGCGGCTTTAACTGTGTTGCAAAAATTTCGATAATGTCGCAAACAACGTATCACGAAGAATTACCATTGAACGAGCAAAATATAATACGCTAGAATTCATCACTGGGATCACCGTACTACGCATATAAAAATATCGTTGATCAACACAAACGGTTCGCAATGGTCCGCAAGGTCTGAAGCATCTATTCAACAAAAGAAAGAAAAAAAGAAAGAAAGAACACTGGGATAATCTAAAAGCGATAACAAAATATTCTAATCGAATCAACAACAGAAGAACGAGAAATAACATGTCTTGTAACCAAACAGAAACGTACTACATTGGCTGAGCGCATCCATTATGGTTTGCAATGGCCCGAATGTGAATGGCCGGCATAAATAATTAATATGCAGTAGTCTGTTCACCTTGAGGGTGATTTTGAGCGGCAGCCGTCGGCAGGTGGCGGCCATCTTGTCCGAGTCCAGCAGGCCGATGACGTCATCTGCCGAGGGCTGGCTCTTCAGACTGTGCCCTCCGCCCTGACCGGCACAGAAATGGAGCACGGAAAATATCAGACAATGATGTCGAAATCTCACAAAGTAGCAGGAACAAATTATAGAATAGTTATACAAAATACTGAAACAAAGGGGGCCAACAATTTAATTCTGATATTAAAAAATACAAACCACTGATGACCAAACACTGGGTTTGTGCGCAAGTAAGCCCAAACAAAACTGCGGAACAAACTTCTATCCTAGGCTACCTCAGCCACTAAAGCTCTTGTTAAATAGCTTCGTCATCCCCCACGGTCCCTCAGTAGCTTCCTTTGAATGGCTCCCTCCTTCCCACCCCAGCACCGCGTCCTCAGCCCCCCCCCCCCCAACTATACCTGAGTTGGGTTGTAGAAGTTTAGAGCCGCCGAGCCCCACACCATCGGCTGATAAGCCTGCAGCGATACGCCCGCCAGCTCGTAACGGCTGATCAACTGAAAGGTCGACACATTGCCGTTAGGGCTGGAATGGACTCGTTCGGCGATAAGAAATCGCATGTGAGAGTCGATTCAAATGCATTAGATATCGCTCGCATCAATGGCACGCATGG